AATTCCAGGACTGGATTAAGATGAAGCCTGGTAAATAAGAGAAGTATGGGAAATCCATGAACCAAAATTGGTTTCTCAGAAATTGGGCCTAATTAGTGGACAAAATAATGAGAAGATGGGCTATTCCACCCACATTCCTTTGGGGATCCTCAAAGAGACTTTGAGGGAACAGATGTGAATACTGGTTGACTAAAAAAACAAGAGAGAAGGGGAAGGAGCAAGCTTCACCATCATGGCTGCTATCCCAACCAGCTCCTTGGACCTTGGGATTCAGTAGAATACCACTGTGCCTTTTACATCCTAATCCTGAAATGTCCTAACCAGACCGGGCCGAACCCAGATGACGCCACCTCCTCCACCAGATCCAGCTAACTCTTGAACACCATCTGGAGACTTTGCATCACCCCCCAATTCCCAATGTGTCCTCTTCCTTCCTCACCTTATTTCTTCTCTTTTCCTACCCCTCTCTTTTTCCTTCTGTCCAATAAGTCGGTCTTAGCCAGCCATGACTGCATACTTTGCAACACTGCTGTAAGCCGTGACCAGAGAGGCAACTAAAAGCAATACCCTTAATAGACCGATCCTGGTACAAGTGTGCCAGCTCTCAGAGTGGCTGATAAGACAGTGTGATGTGTCAGTGTTTCTCCAGCAGTAAGGTTGCAAGTGAGTCAATACCAGAGAGACAAGCTGCATTTTCTATCTTTGCTGTTCTTTTCTTTCCCCTTTCGTGTGTGTGTCTTGTTTTGTCTTTTAGGAAACAGGACCAGATTTCAACAATAGCACCAGCCCATCTCAACTAACTTCTTCTCTCTCTTTCCCAAAAAGGACAGTTATTACCATCTAAGACTGTTGAAATAAAGGGATTTTCCCTCTAAAAATTTCTCTACAGCTAAAAGAAAAGGGAATAGGGGATGTTGTTAAAATGAAAAAAATATTTTTTACATTTCAAGTTTGTTTTAACGGTTTTCCCTTGTTTTTTTGTATCTTTAATAAGATTAAAAAGATTTTTAATTACATGTTTGCCATAGTACTAAGTAGGCCGAGGTCGGTTGACTAAACCCCAAACCTTGTTTAAAACAATTTAGGGTCGGGCAGTTACAGGTCACGTCAACACCTTTTACTCTTTGGGCCCATTTATTTCATCTAAATTAACACAACATGTGCCCCTTATGGGTCTGTCAAGGAAGGCACTGGTCTGAAGCTCAAGTATGGGCTTCCTAGAAGCTATGCCCCTCTATGTTGCATGGGATCTACATGGTCCAGACAGGTCTGATTTGCCTGGTGTTCTCAACCTGGGATACGAGTCGGTATTCTCTTGGGTGGGGGGAAGATGCACCTGCTATAGAAGTGGCAGTAGAGGGAGAAGGATAGCCCCACAGGCCCCCTTACGGGCCTTACCACATTCTCCAATGTTGGTGGTATCCATGCTGTCTCTGGTGTCTTCCATCCACAACCTGTAGGGAAGTGGAGGGAGAGGTTGGAGCAGGAGGTGGCTGAACTCCACAGTCAGAGGTGTGATGGCTGGTATGGACTATAGGACTTCAGGTGCAGTCTTTCATTTGTCATGTTGCCCTCCTGAGTCCAGTCCCCTTGTGGAGATGGAGAGAGTGGGGGCTACTTGTCCCAGAGCCAGTTCTTTTCCAATCTTGCCTGTCTCCTTTCCTGCTGGGGGGCAGGGAACTAAAACAACTCTGCCCAGGCTGGGCTGCTTCTTGCTCAGAAGAGCCAGCTTCTCTGAACCTGATAGGCAGTTCCCTCCTTGCCCAGGGAAGGGGAGCTGAAGTCACACCACCCAGAGTGAGTTGTAAGGGAAACTACCTCTGCCCACAGAGCCAGACAATCTCCCCAATGAAGAGCACAGAGACTTTTTTTGGCCTAGCTCTGACCCTGAAGCTTGCAGGGATACCAACTACCACAAATGCCTCAAAGGGGAAGTGGAACAATCACCCCAAAAATCAAGTGCAACCCTCAGACATAGCTGGACATAGAGGAGTTATTGAAACAAACCATTAGTCTAAAAATTTGAAATAAAGCTTGGAATTTTCCTCAGGAAATGTCTACAGCAGAGGGGTATGGCTGAGCTGCCAGCTGCTGTGGTAGCAGGTAAAACTAGAGGGAACTTCAGGAGAAGGAGCATTCCTATGCTGCTAGTGACGGACAGGTCTGGTTCTGTCCCCAAGCTGTAAAGACGTAGAAGTATACATTATAACAGATCTGTGAACCTTAGCACAGATAAAGTGTATTTGTTAAATGGTTTAAAAAAAAAAGGTAAATTTATTCCCCAGACCCTATTCCAGTTTGCAAACACATGCACTGCTGGTATATTGGATTTTTGTGCATGCACCTTGTTAAGAGCAGTACATCATTATTTTAGTTCATTCTTGTTGAAAAAGTTTGTTTTTCTTAATTATTTCTGTACATTAGCCAACCTTTTCCAGGCTACCACTCTTCTAAACTTGTTCACAATTTTTGATTTGTCAAGATGGTAAATTAAACTGGTTCATAGTCAACCTTTTTTGCTCTGATGCTCTAAGTAGATTGTCATTAAATCAAATTTCTTTCAGTTCAGCAGTTTAAAGTAATTTAGCTGACTACCCCACAAGCTGAATTTTAAGATAGTGAGGTCTGGTTGTTCTCTACTCCGCAAAATGTGCATTTCAAGTAAAGGAGTACATCTTTATTCCAATGCTATATCAGGAGAAACACGCTAAAGCAATGGGATTTTATTACTTGCAGTATTTTATAAATAGAATAAAAATCAGATGCAAATACATTTGTGCCCAGTGTAGTCTACTTACCTGTGTAGTGGTGACAACTAGAAAGACCTAAGTGCCAGTGTCAACAGCGCTATGTCAATGGGAGAGCTTCTCCTGCTGAAATAGCTACCACAGCTCACAGGAGCTAGAGTAATTAAGTCGACGGGAGAGCTATTTCCCATTGACTTAGGCCTGGTCTACACTTACCCCCCAATTCGAACTAAGGTACGCAACTTCAGCTACGTGAATAACGTAGCTGAAGTCGAAGTACCTTAGTTCGAACTTACCTCGGTCCACACGCAGCAGGCAGGCTCCCCCGTCGACACCGCGGTACTCCTCTCGTATAGCTGGAGTACCGCAGTCGACGGCGATCACTTCCTGGTTCGACTTATCGCGTCCAGACAAGACGCGATAAGTCGAACCCAGAACTTCGATTCCCAGCCGCCGAACTAGCGGCTGGGTGTAGACATACCCTTAGAGTGTCTGCAGTGCAGATGCAATGCTGTAAACTCTGTGTAGCTATAGCCTGTCTCTCTCTCTTTCCCACTTTCCAGAGCCTCCTGGTTGCTGAGTGAGTGACTAAAACTTCAGTTACCCTACCTTTCCTCCAGTTTCCTGGATGCTGCACTGGATACATGTGTTTCTCAAAAGATTTCCCCCACTCTCAGCTTTTGGGTCAATCCAAGTTCACAAAGCACACAAGCACATGCTTAAGTTCCAGTGATTTCAACTGGACATACTTGAATTTAAGTATGTGCTTAAGTGTCTTGCTATCTCAGGGACACAGTACATAGTTTCTGCAGCCTGACTCTGCTATAGATCAAAGAATTCCCATGCTAGAACGGACAGATATTGATCCAATTATTTGACTGCTGCACAGTTCTAAACAGCAGCAGTGAATATTTACACTCTTTATTTTCACTCTGTGACAGCTTAGAAAATCTTTGAGCAGCAACAGACACACTTGGGCTGACTAAGAACTGGCAGATATCACTTCATGGTTTAACCCTGGGTTCACATTTGCAAGATTACTTTTGCAATCTTAAACTTAATTAAAAAAATTAAAGCTTAGTTTCTGCAGAAGTTGATGACATTAACCTGGAAAAGTTTCCTATTGGTCAAATATAAGTGGATTTGGTAAGCATTGACAATAAATTTTGTCCCAGACTGGGGAATCGTTTTCAATGGAAATAAATATTTGTAGAGTGACAGGCATACAATTTATCTGAACACTAGGGTTAGGAAACAAAACTATTTCTATTGTTGAAAATATTGAGTGACACTAATAAGAATACCACCTCTGTCACTCCCAATATCTATATTGTAAATACTGGAGAGCCAATGTCCAGTACTGCTAGAACTGGTGACACTACAGAATGAAAGACTCGTACCTTTATTCTTGCAATGCTCACACTAGCCACATTTAGCAAATGACTATGATCTTTCATAGTTATGAGAATTACAGCAATCTAAGCATTTTGCGTGTTTTTGGAAGAACTAGGCTACAACTTGATTTGGGGAAAAAAAGTCTCCTCCTTCTTTAAATGGAAAAATTAAGAAATTTTCAAACTGGAGTTCCCCTCCATTTCCAATCTTTTATTATGAAGTGTCTAGACACAAAATGTCTTGCCGCTCCAAACAAGCTATTATTATATAAATCAACATAATATATGTAAAAATGTTTTCTATAGAGTTGCTAGAATTTTGCATTGCCATATTCTAGTAAAAAAGTAGCCAATATATGCACTTGAGCAGTTTTAGACAAAATCTTATCATAGCCAATTATTTCCTGGATTATTTTAATTTTGTCAAATTATTAGTTCTACAAGACAGCAAATCCAAATATAGTCAATATTACTACTTTATAGTTCACCACCTCAAGACTGATCATCCATACTGGAATACATTTTCAACTGCATTCATTCTGAGATGCTTGAATAGGTAAGACACTGAGATATATCAGACAAAATATATTAACTGCAGACAATCAAAATTCCGTCCACTATACCAGAATATAACTGTAACTACATTACACCTCTGATACTTCTGGCTCTGTAAACGTATTAAGTGATGTCAGTTTAATTTTCTACATAAATAGTGATGATATAAAGTGGGGAAAAAAAGAGTAAATAAAATCAGGCTGATGAGATTTGGTTAAAAAAAGTTGCTTTTCACTTTATCATTAGCATACATTACTCAAGAAGAAATAGCATACATTACTCAAAGGTATGGCACCACACATACCTTTTTTCAGCTTCATGAATATTTACTTTTTCTTCTTTTATAGCATCCGACTTGCCTGAAAAACTGTACTGTGAAATGATTATAGTTTAAATAAATGTAAATTCAGATAACTATCCTGTATATCAAACAATCTTTCATAATCGTGCCCAGTGTAAGAACATAAGAAGGGCCATACTGGGTCAGACCAAAGGTCCATCTAGCCCAGTATTCTGTCTTCCGACAGTGGCCAATGCCAAGTGCCCCAGAGGGAATAAACAAAACAGGTAATCATCAAGTGATCCATTCTGTAGCCCATTCCCAGCTTCTGGCAAACAGAGGCTAGGGAAACCATCCCTGCCCATCCTGCCTAATAGCTATTGATGGCCCCATCCTCCATGAACTCATAGGCGCCAACTCCGTGGGTGCTCCAGCCCCGGAGCACCCACAAGGAAAAATTAATGGGTGCTCTGCACCTACCGGCAGCCAAGCTTCCCTCACCCCCACCCCACCTCCTCCTCTTGCCCTGAGCGTGCCGCGTCCCCGCTCCTCTGCCTACCTCCCAGCGCTTCCCGCCCAGCCACCGCCAAACAGCTGTTTGGCAGCGTTAGCACGCTCGGGGGGCGGGGGGAGAGGAGGAGCAGGGACGCAGCGTGCTCAGGGGAGGAGGCGGGGCCGGGGATTTGGGAAAGGAGTTGGAATGGGGGTGGGAAGAGGCGGGGCCTCATGGAAGGGGTGGAGTGGGGGTGGGGCTGGGGGCAGAGGGAGGGGTTGAGCACCCACGGGAAAGAGGGAAAGTCGGCACCTATGCATGAACTTATCTAGTTCTTTTTTGTACATATAATATTTTACACACACAAAGTTTCTGCATATCATCTCCACTTTAATGGGGGCTCAAACGTGAGCAGTTATCTTTTACTATACAAAATCTAATGTAGATAATAGCAACTACTGTTATCTAAAAGGGAAACAAATTTACATTCATTTGACTTTTTCTTAAGCTAATACTGCTACACGTAAGATTATTATAAATGAAAGATCAGAGGAAAAACATCCTTTTCAGATTGTCCATAGTCTGTTTCATGTTTTTTCCATATAGTTAGTTTCACCTGAGGTTTGTTGGATTTTTCACACAACCTCAGGAAAGAGAAGAAACAGGAAAATGTTGCTGAAAACACAAAAATTGGCAAGGGGACTCAAAACAAATATTCTTCATTCAACCCTCTCCTTCTCCAAATATGAATGACTAATTTTCCATCCCTACTGAGGAAGAGTTGAGGTTATGATGTGTTATATGTGGTATATGATGGTTGTTCAAGTGGCAAAGTTTATACCTTGGGGAGAGGAGAAGAGAGTATGTACCAGGGGTTGCCGAACTTACTGAGTCTCTGAGCCGCGTACGACAATCTTCATTAGTTCGAGAGACGGGGTGCACCTGCTGGGACTCGGGGCTTCAACCCTGTTCCTGCTGAAGACCTGAGCCCCAGCAGGCATGCCCCGTGGGGCTGTAGCCCTGACACTCCTCTCCCCACTAGGCAGAAGCCCCTACCCCATCACCCTGCTGCAAGGCAGAGGTCCCATGCTCCCAAGTCTGGTAGGTGGAGAATGGTGAAGACGTAGGGGGTTCTGTGACCTGCACTGTAACTGTAAAAGAGCCGCATGCTGCTCATGAGCCAGAGTTTGGCCACCCCTGGTATATATTGCTGTCTTGGACACTACAGGAAGACAAGACAAGACACCAGGAATGTGGCTTAACTAGGCTGCAACTTTATTAAGTAACACATATAGGAGCTATCTTGGAATTACTCCTATAGTACAGGTCATCCTTCCTTCTTCTGTAATCCATACCTTGCAGCGGAGTACTATTATCACTCCTCTCACCCTGTTAACCTGGTCCCAGCCCGCTGCAGGGGCTCCGTCGTCCTCCCTCATATGAGGGTTAAATGTGTGGTGAAGAGAGAGTTTGTCTATCCACTGCCTCTGACATTAGGGAGCCCTGACCCCATTCCCCATTTTCTTTAGGAGATGGAGTCACAGTTTAAGGCCAAAAGGGACCAACAGATCATCTAGTCTGACCTCCTCTGTATCATAGGCCATCAGTACCCAACAGCACCCACCCACTAAAGCGAATTTGCTTCCAATTCCAGTTTATCAGGGAACCAGATCCCCTGTTGATCACTACCTGAGCTGAGCACCTGCCAAGATACAACAGAATTAATTTTACAACTTAACCTACCCTGGGCTGCTTAGAGGAAGGTGAAAAAATCCACAGCACCCTGGCCAATCTGGCAGTAAGGAGAAATTCCTTCCCAATCTCAAAAAGGTAATTAGCATGAGGCCACAGGATCCAAAAAACAGAGTCCTACTCTAATTTCAAGGGGTGGAGGGAAGAATTTTTCTTCCTTGTGTAGAATGGTCTCCTTGGGCAGGGGTTAGGGCTTATAAACTCTCCTCTTAAATTCTAGGGAGCCAATCAGCTTATATAGCATCCCTTCTGTCACAACCAATCAGCCACAGAGCCTCTCTCTTCCCCTTCTTAAGTCCAGCAGAAGAGGGGTGTGGGACAATTCTTAAAAGGGCCAATGCTTTTTCTTTCCCCTGCAGGCCCAAAGCAGGCTGCAAAGTGGAGAACAACTGATACCATAACTTCATTTCCTTGCTTTTCTTGCTTTTTGTTAGGTATGTTATATACAGACCAGTCTTAATGGACATATAATGCAGTGTTTGTGCATATTTTTATTAGAATAACCTGATTTATATTATTGGTAAGACATGAGTAATGTTACCGTAATTAATATGGTAATATCTCATTCAAGTTAAAATTTTAAATTGAATTGTCAGTAACAAAACGGAAAAATAGTTTGTCAAAGACGACTCTGACCTGGTCTACAGCACATATTAAAGTAATCAATAAAACCCTCTTTAGAAAAGCAGCTGTACCCTTCACTACATAAAATTAAAGTGTAACATGAGTATGAAATACCATTAGTAATTAGGATATTCTATGTGAACTATTTTCATTCCTGCCTAGATTAGTTTGTGACATAATGCAATGTACTTTCTTTAGTACCTTCTCATCCATATGAAAATCCTTTAAGAGTTCATCTGATTCAATCAGCTGCCCATCCTCAAAAGACTCCTCAATTACGCCTCCCAAAGGACAGCTTCCACTTGAGGAATCATGTTTTTGAATCTTATTAGCTGAAAAGGTGGAACATATTACTGCGAAGTCTTCTATATTAAGCTGTTATAGCAATGAAATTTAAGAACTCATATTGCTTCCTAAATGTGAAATTTGTATAAAATTATTTCAATATGAAAGCTTAAAGAGTTTCTTCAAAGTAAATATTACAGTAATAGAGAAGCAAGAAGGGATATACTATTGATCTGACAAATTTTCTAATTTGTTTTAGAAAATAATTAAGGTATGGGTTTTGCTACTGAATACCTACATATCTGTTCTCCCTAACTACGCATTTTAAAAATTTCCATTCTTACCCATCAGCAGTGCATCATATGAATCTGTGCCAGATTTCAATGTTCCAGATTCTTGAATGGGACTCTCTCTGTTTTAAACAAAAAGTACATTTCAAATCTCTAGTAAAGAGGCAGACTAACCTAACCTAACTACACAAAATCAAAGCTTTCCAGTCCAACAATGAATGCTTTCAGCTATGGACAGAACATGTTTACAGCATAACAGTCCCACTATGAGTTAGTTTTTCTACACTCACATATTGCTTTCCTTGAAAATCCCCCCTTCTAAACACATTCACAATTGTTTTAGTATTATCGTAAGTATAGTAGTAATATTTACATTATTAAAGTTCTTCAATTTTGGCTTTTCTCCTCAACACACCTTTGCCTAAAATAATGTTGGGGGAATCTTTCACATCAAAGGTCAGACAAATCCAGCAGTTACAGAAAATAAGGAAGATTTGTAAATACTGTGTTAGTTAACCAGTTCACCAATTTCAAAATATTTATAACACCTTTCCTGCAAGATGAATCCCAAAAGGTATTTATTGAAAATGTTACTAATTTACGTAGACTTCACCCACTTCTGGAGTGAAACACAGTACGGCAATATTACACAATTTAAGCTAGGAAAAGAAGAATACTGCATTCAACAAACATTGTGGCTTAAAAATTGGTACAGTCTGAAAAATTCCTATTTCCCAGAAACCAGGAACAAGTAAAAGTGTTATCTGAAAAGTGCAACCAGAATTACTCAGCAGGCAAGAAACTGCACAAGGCAACTGAGGAGACCTGGGGGCATACTGAGCAACATCATGGCATAGCAGTAATGAGCTGCCAGTCTTCAGAGGTGATCAGAGAGGGCAGGTAGGAATGGAAACATTCTACCTTGGGGAAATTTAGCAAACAGAGTACAAGGTTTTGCATTATGCACAAGTCAATGTATATAGACACTTGGCTTAAATACAAATATCTCAGTGGACTGACAAAAATTCATAGAAAGTTAATTATCCATGAGTTTCACGTCAAACAAAATGTTTACTTTGCAGAAACTATACGGAGCTTTCTGATTAAAGGCAGTCTTTTTATAAGTGTTTCTCCCCACAACATGTGACATCTTTGTTAGTCATATGAAATGCAAAGGATCAGACAATGTGTTATTTTGTTCACAATTATTAACTGCTCTGTAAAATGAATGTCAGAAGATCTGCTTACCTGCCAAACATTATTTTATTTTTAGAGATTTGAAATTGCCCTAAATCTTGGCTCAAAGTATCTTAAAATAAGTATGAAAGACTTTATATATAGAAACAACTGAGGTTGTCTCAGAAATTTAGATTTATTACTGTACTTGCTGATGATCCATTCACAGGCCTACATCTGAGTAACGAGCCTATGTACGTCACATTCATGCAGGACTGGAAAATATACCGTCTTTGCTGATGTAGCACATTTGAAATATAGAACAGCTGATGGTATCCCATAGAAATAGTATTAGAAGGTCTAGGAATTAGAATAGCTCCAGTTAAACATGCTTGGCTTGAATTTAGATGGTATAGTGAACGTGGGCTTTTCAAATGGCATGCTGCAGGCCAAGTTTAGACAAGAAACTCTTCACATTATTGTGTACTGAATCAACCACAACTGTGAGCTTTCTATTCTAGATAGCAAAAACGAGATTTCCCTATCATAAAGACTGAATTTAGAAAGATTTTCACACTTTACTGTTTAAGTACAGGAGCTCTTGTTGATGCCTTAGAGGCAAATGAGCTATTTTTGGTTGATCTTCACCATGTAGACTGCTTTGCTAGTCAGGTCTGAACACTAGAGACAATGATCAAAAAGAGACTGTTTTGCTTGTCATCCACACACAAGAAGCAGACTCGGGGTCATTCTTAAAGAGACCAAAACAGGCAAGACACAGGGCATATTGTATTGTATCAACTTAAGTAATCACTGTGACTGAAGCTAGAAAATGCTATGCTAGAACTCATAGCAGTGAAAACAATTCTGCTTTATGTCCAAAAACTTATCAGAGATGAAAAATGTGAAAGAGTAAACCCTTAAAGTTGCCATTGCACATAGAGAACATATTCATCAGGATACAGCAACTACCATTCACATGGTTTCAATGCTTTGACTCCTAAGAGAAGCCTAGAGACAAGAGAGAACTGGCCCATTATAGCAACTAACAGTCTATTAGCTCCTCGATTTTGAGTTAGGAGGAAAAAGCTAGTTATAGAGCACAAATTATAGAATGTATGATGCAAGAATCTGGGCAAGGCGATATAACTAACTTTCCATGGCAAATCAAGGGAAGGTTCTGACAAGCTACAGACTCCTACATTTTCATTTTTAGAGACAAGCTGGGTGAAGTATCATCTTTTACTGGACCAACCAGACTGCCAACCCCAGCCATCAATTGAGCAGGCCTGAATTAGAGTGTGTGCACACATCTAATCCTTGGATAATCTTCTTAACTTATGAGCCTCAATTTCAGCATTTATACAATGGGAGTTATATTTACCTACTGTATAGAGATGCTGTGAAACCTAAGAAAATTTTACTGAAGTATTATATAAGAGCAAATATTACACAGCAACTAACAGGGAAAAGAGCTCAGAAGTTTTAGGCTCCCAGCCCTGAGTATTTTACTTTAGGCCGCATGGCCTGAGAGGCGGAACAACCTTCTCTAGCTTTTAAGCACTTGTATTCATGCTTTGTAAATCACTATACAATTAGCTAGCTTTGTATCATATCAACATTTAAGGCCACCTTTTAAAAAGTATTTTCAGCTATATATGCACCATGATATGGTGTATTTCAGATCGTTTTAAAACTAAACGGCTCTCAAATGTTCTTTCAAGCTTTCCCTGAAGAATGTTTAGGGTGGGGTTTTTTTGGTTTGGTTTTTGTTGTTTAACAATGGGAAAAAAATATTTAACTGACTTTTTTCTCCTTCAAACACCAAAAAGTCATATTCAGGTAGAGACCAAGAATAGAAAGTTTCAGCCCAAAGGTGGGTATTTTGGAATGAGCCAGGGCTCAGAAACAGGTGGGGGGGAGGGATACCAATTAACTGTACCAGCACTTCTCTGAAGCTAGTACTTTGTTCTTCAGAATCACAGCTTCTTTTTAAAAACAAATTTTCTAAGTTGTTATAGTTGTGAAGAAAACTTCAAAAACGTGAACCAAACGTAACCAAGGCAGAAAAATCCGGTCTCTAGAGACTGGGAACAATAGGTCTGATATTTGTTCTTCCATTAAGGTGTTAACTCATATCCCAGTGATAGTTGTTAATGTTGACATTTAAATTATTTCATTCCTCATGTATGTAAGGAGAGGGAGAATGACAGATCTATACAATATACTGTGAGTCAAGTCTCATCTTGATGCCAAAAGGTGGCGGCACTTGGGAGATACCACCAATTATTTTTTTCTCAAATCAAGGAGCCAGCAAAGCCCATGGCATACTGAAACCCCACCAAGGCAGAGCCAAGTTCAAAGAGCTCAATGGAGCTTAGAGAGCATGCAAAAACATATTTTGAACATCTGCAAAATGCATGGTGGGCAGGGTCTCATTTTGGTGCCTTCTCGGGGAAGATCTTGGAAGAGCACCTCCCACCTTTTCCCTCCTCAAGCTGACCCCTGGTTATGAGCATGTGATAACTGGGATCTCAAACTACAGCAGTCACCACAAACTTTCACCCTTGGTTATGAGCACATGAAAAACCATGTGGACCGGATGTCTCAAGAGTTTGGTAATGGACGTACAAAGCTTTCCACAGGATTTCAATCTGACATCCCGATTAGCTCTTAGCAACATATGTTCGTATCATAAAACACATCATTAATTGGTACCCTTGATGGCCCTTAGTAAAAAGGACAAGGAATAAATGGGTATGGGAACTGATCCTTAGACATATTTCCCCTAGCTCATGCTTAAGGATCAGCGGTAAGGCAACATGTGAGAAATACTGTTGCAACCCCGATAATATGATCTATCACTTCTTCTGGGAACAGAAAACTTAATTTTCTATTAATAATAATGTCACCTTCTTGGAGCACTAAACTGTCAAACCCTGAGACCAACATTTATCTGCATGAGTTAAGAAACTGTCCTAAAGGTCTTTGGATTTGTTTTTGTTGGTTTTTTTTGTTTGGTTTTTTTGTTTGTTTTTTGCTGTTGCTCCTTTACTTTCTCAAAAGTGAGATTCTAAGATACACAGTTAAAATTAAACTTTAAAATGGATATTTAAATCACACACTTCAGCACTACCCTAAGCAAACTTCCTACTTTCCTCCTTTGTACACCATAGTTTCAGGAAAGGGAGAGGGAGATAACTGTCAAGGAGGATTTCAAGGTAAGAAATTGGCAATATTTAAAAAAACAGTTTAAAATGTTAGTTGTAGTATTAACCTAAAAAAATGTAAAGATGACAGGGAGCAAAGAGCATGAACAGAGGAAGCAAATAAAAATTGAACGGGAAGGCACTTGTCTTCAGGTCTTTGGAGAAAATCCTGTACTATAAACCTCTATGCAACTTTTATACTTTTCTCATAAGATTACCAATTTTGTACAACAGCTAATATATCAAGCAGCTATAAAAAGATTTTGAGTCTCTCTAAACACACATGGTGAGCTGCCATTTATAGAAGGTTGCTAATACATTTAATTCTGCTCTCCCTCCTTTACTGTACCTTACTCTGATCTCAATACATAGATCAAACACCACAATGCAAGACTGGTAAAAATATTGACTAGAACCTAGTAGACAAATTATAGTTTTAAAAACTATTCAGCATGTGAGAAAAACGTATTGTTACTATTTGGATAACCAAAAATCACTTACTCATGGGAATGCAGAAACAGCAGAAGTTATAGCAATAGAAAAAGTTATAAATATTTTAAAATGCCATACTACAATATAAAGCTATCATTAAGGGGACACTAATGAGATAATTCATATATACATCGTTACAGCATTACCAGTATTACTCCCACATCTTACTTTAAAAGAATTTAAAATAATTAATTTCCTTTTCAGCATTTTTTTTTTCCATTTCACTCAGCCTGACCAATTCAGTTACTTTGGTTTATAATCAGCTTTACTTTCTGGTTCTCATGCAGTAACCATACGCTGTGTTTGGATTCAGAACTTTGCCAAAAAATGTTTAAATTCCCAAAGTCCATTTTTGCTGATTTTTTTTCCAATTTCATGAAACTGTTTCTGTTCACATTGAATGCATAACTGTGCTGCCCACTCTACTAAACGTACACATATACAGCGTTTTGGGGGAAACCTGAATACTTGGACTAAACTAAGTTGATGTCTCAATGTACTCAGTATTACACAAATATTTTTTATGAAGGTAAAGCAATGATATGCATACCTAAAGTAATCCCTTGAATCCTTAGTTTCTGGAAGGATAAGGCATTTTGGCTTGACATCCTGTTTTTCCTCCGAGGTAGTACTGATATTACAGTGCTTTTCAGTCACATGGTTCATTGTGAATGCAAGCTCCCCTTCATCAGTGGTTCCAAAAAGGTCAGGGTCATCCTGAATTACATCAATCACAAGAATATCATCTTCATAAGCCTTAAGAACATCTGGAAAGTTTTTAATCTTACTCTGTGCAAGATCCATTCTTGACTTCTTTTTATCATCATCATGCATTTCTAATGAAACAGAATGGTCAACTGTTTTACTGGAATAATCTAGTGTGCGACTTTGCTCTATAGGTGCAGTAGCAGAAGAGTCAGTAACATCCTCAAGAGCAGATGACTCCAATTCTCCCTCAAGAAAAGCACACTGATATGTAGAAACATGTTCAGAAAGTATATTTATTTCATTTGAAAGACTTTCAGAACCACCACTGCCAAAGTCCTTACTGCTCATTTGGTCAGCATTTTCCTTTGAGGGGATTACAGAGATATCTGCCTCTTCAGAGATAGGCTGCTGCTCAGAGACTACCATAGAGGAATTCTCCTCGGCTCTGTTCTGCCTTGCTGAAGCAGCAGCAGATTTGTGAAGGCGTTCCAGTGGACTGTATGTTTTTTTATCTAATGATCTAATACAGTCCACTTTCCTGGATTCAGTTTTATTTTTGCGTAAAGGAATTTTGAAATTTGATAGATTTCCCGGGTATAACATTTTCATTAAGTTTGGAATTGTAACTGTTTTTTTCATCATTGATGTCTTATGATTAACAATCATTTTACTTGTATTGTCATCTTCAGATATACCATCATGGAGCGCCATCATCAGATTTTTCTTTGTTAAAGCGCCTTTGTTTTTATCATCTTGTTTTTGTTTTACTGCCAAATTTAAGATCACCTGAGCTTCATGGACAGCTTCAGACTTAGAAGCTATGGGACTACTATCCACTGATGACTCTAGATTTTCATTACAGGTGACTCTCAAAGTCCCACAAATATCCAATAATGATGACTCTGGTGTTCTAACAGAAGTCAGACATTCAATGTTAGACTCCATTGTTATTTTACATGCAGATTCTTTGACACTTTCTGCCTCTAACATACTTAGCTCTAATTGCCTGGAGTTATCAGTTAAAACCATATCTCTTACAGCTTCGGTATTGTTTTCACATGAGCATTCCTGAGAACCAGAAGTTGAAGTTTTTCCTTCCAGGACAGACACGTGATTTTTATGAAACCATTCAGAAGTCCTAGCACATGATTCACGAGGCCAAACATTTTTACCAGACATTGGTACTATTCTTTGACAGCTATATAGCTGTAATTTCTCAACATTACTTATCAGTTTTTCATTTGACACTATCCTCTCTCTCTTTTGGCAACTGGCATCATTGTAGTAATCAGAAATATTGTCACTGACCAAAGTAACCACTTCTGGACTATTTGAGGTATTCAAGCGGTCTTGTTGTTCTATACTTTCTGAATCAAAACCACCCTTTTCTCCTTTTGCAATTTCAGATAGCTGAAGTCTGTTCTCAAAACTACCTTCTGTTGCACAGGGTTTCAAGTGCATTTTTCTATTAACCGAGGCAGTACAACCATTTTGTGCTTCTTGAGTATTTGGTTCTAGATGGGGATTTGATTTTTGATCAAATGAAGATGAGGAAGTAGTTTCATTGCTATTTAACTCTAAAACTGCTAAAGAGTCTGTTGTGGCAGTTTTATCTTCCATATGTAACTCATATTCACAGTATTTGTTGTCTATAACTGGGAGAACATTCTGGACTGATGATTTTTCAAAAAGTTTCATCCTTTTCCTGGGCTTTCTATCAATACTCCACTTTCTTTCCCTCAAGCACTTACTGTTTTCATTTTGACAATTTTTTCTATTTTGGCATATTCCTTCTTTGTCAAATGATATACTTTTCTGTGTGGACATCTGCATTACATTAAGCTTGCTATTCATATCACTCTGTCCCATAACACTGTCAGGACAAAAAGTCTCTCTCTTACCCTGTGCTACATGCAAGAATCCACCACCAATTTTGTAACTGCAGTTGGTTGCATCAACTGAAGACTTTACAAATGTATTAAGGTAACGACAGTCATATAATTTTACAACTGGATTCTTTTCTACTGTGGATGGAAAGCTATTATGATAATTTGGGGTTTCTCTGCACTTTTCATCCTTAGACTTTACCAGTTTGCTCTTTGTCGCTTTATTTTCAGTTACTTTTACATCCAAATTCTGTAAACATCTGGTCTTGGTGAGTCTATTTCTTCTCCTGTTACACTGTTCTGTAGATCCCGTTTTTAAACCCGGGCATACTGGTATCTTGCTCTGAGTTCCATCTGACTTAGCTACCTGGAGAGATTCAGAGTAAGCTACTAGTGGTTTCTTTATGTTATAATCTTTTGATATATTTAGATCAGTCTCTAGCTGCTTTCCATCCTGTGCATCTGAGTCTTCCTTAACTTCTATTATTTTTTTCTTTGCTGATTTAAAAAAAACGAATCACAGTCAGTCTTACACACGAATACAAGTGCTTTAAGAAAAAACTGAACTATTGCCTTTTTAGAAAAAATACTACAAACATGGTTCAAGACTATTATCTACCAAATAAAAACTATAGAGGTGAAATGTAGTTGTGTTACATTCTGACTAACATTTTTACATACAGAAAATAACTAGCATATTAACTGGCTTAAAATAGCTGTTATATAAAGTCTTTACAGAATGCTAGGCTGTTATAAGAAAAAAATTTGAATGAACTGATAGTAACTTCAAACATATCCCAACTGGCAAATCAAACTAAAGTATTTTTGCAAGAAAATGCTAGATACTATTTCCACTTTTAAATTTTAGGCAAAGCCTTTTGTTCACATATTATGTGTTGAAATAAATATATTCATAAATTACGTGTTCAAGATCACCCGAGCCAAAAAAAAAGCGCCCATTTAAAAATTTAATTCAAGAAAAACCAGAAAGACAAATTCTTTATTATACTAAGCAAATTACTGTTCTTTTAACAGGAAATATTCATTATATCTAAAAATTGTATTTGTGAACATTTCATTGCAAATCTGAAAAAAAATATTGGTAAAACTCTGTGAGAAAGTTAATAATACTTCACATAATAATTAAACTAAGGCAATGGTTTTCAATCTGTGGTCCCGGGGGGGGAGGGGGGAGGGGAGAGAGGGGGACACATACTACACCTCTACCCCAATATAACGCGAACCAATATAACATGAATTCAGATATAACGCAGTAAAGCAGCGCTCCGGGGGGCAGGACTGCGTGCTCCGGCGGATCAAAGCAAGTTCGATATAACGCGGTTTCACCTATAACGCGGTAAGATTTTTTGGCTCCTGAGGACAGCGTTATATCGGGGTAGAGGTGTATGTCTAAGATTTCCGAAGCGGTTCGCACCTCCATTCTAAATTTTTTAAGGGTCCGCAAATGAAAAAAGGTTGAAAACCACTAAACTAAGGTGCTTGTTTAATAAGATCTCAAATTTTCAAAATAGATTATAATTTCAGTATTTAAGTTTTTCCTATTGCAATAAATCATGCCTATCTGAAAAAGGGCTCAAATACATAATACTATTTTCAACAATACAGAAAAAAGTTCGTATTTCCATCAAGAAATTAGAGGCAACAACAATGCTCCTAGTTCCCAACCCGCATATTTATGGGCATAGACCTGACCCAAGTTTACAATTCACTGGAAAGAAATTCCTTCACAAATCGATTAATTTTACAGGTATATTTACAATCTCTCTCTCTTATGAGGATTTTACTTTGTATCTTTCAGCAAAATTTACAACTTTGTTTATTTTTAAATATCTCCCTAGTTCAAGTTGTCCCACTTTGAGAAAATCACAATTAACATGCAAAAAAACGACCCCCAAGTGCACTTTTTGTTTCTGTTGCTAGTGGGATATTACTTTCAATGGTATTTAAAAAGAGGCAATAAGGTTGAGAATTTGAAGCAATTGGGACAGCATCCTACAAACTAGAAGAGCAAAAAGACAGACCGCAAATGTACAAGCAGGGGAAGTAGAGGGGTATAGATATAAGACAGCAACATACAAATATATAGGCGGATACAGAATAAGATCTTACTAGGCTTTCTGATCTTTAATTTTAGTTCAGCTGAAACCACAGCCTCTTCCTTTCCATCTTTCTGTCTCTCACCATTGTCCTCTATTCTACTAATGAACAGATCATCAGTGGTTGTAGAACCCACTTCTTGCCCTACAACCTGTTGCTGCTCCATCTTCCCTCGTCTGCTCCCTCGAGTATTTCCAGCAGCAGAACCCCTGCCTGGCCTCCAGCACTGGGCTTCATAATCCTTCCCACATATCAGCCTTGACTGAGAAGCAGCCCAGGTCACCATCTTCACCCTTTCATCTGCTGAGGAGCCCCTGCTCCTCTTCCTGTGTTCTGAGGTTCCTGCTCCCTCCAAGTAAGTCCTACCCTTTTCCCCACAGGTCCCTGCTTCCTTCTGGGGCCCTGGTAGCCATAGTTCCACAGAAGAGCTCCTGCCTCTCCTTCCTGGGCTACATGCTCCCTCATGGAGGCCTAGACTGTGTGGCTGTAGTACCACCATGAAATGCCTGCCCCTTATCCTTGGGCTACCTGTACTCTCCTGGGGACCTGAGCTCTGGAGATATGATTCCTCAGTGGTGCATGAGTGCTTACCCCTCTTCCCCAGGCTTCCTACTTCCTCCTGGGTGCCTGAGTTTTGTAGTTGCAAGGAACGCCTGAACCTCTTTCCTGGGCTTACTGGTTCTTCTTGGAGGCTTAGTCTCTGTGGCTGCAGCACTGCCAATGAGTGTCTGCCCCTCTTCCCTGGGCTCTTTAGTTTCACTTCCACCAAAGACTGCCTACCCTTTTCCCCCAGACTCCTTTTTTCATCTAGAGGCCCTGACAGCCTCACCTCTGTTAAAAAACATCTGTCCCTCTTCCCCGGGCTCCCTACTTTCTCCTGGGGTCCCAGGACAGATAAGGAGCGCCTGCCCCTCTTCCCAAGGTTCCCTGCTTCTACCCAAGCCTCTGTCCCTGCCAACAAACATCTGCCCCTTTTCACTGGGCTCTCTTCTCCCTCCTTGGGCCTTAGCACTCTTGGTTCAGAAAATGAGCGCCGGCTCCTTTTTCCCTGCCTCCCCACTTCCTCCTGAAGCCCCAGTTCTACCATGGTGCATCGGCTCCTCTCACTCAGGCTCACTGTTTCCTTCTCAGAGTCTGGGATTTGCACGTCCAGTGCCATCAGGCTCCCTGCATCCTTCCCAGGCCCCAGCACTACTGGTTCTGACAAGGTGCATCTGTCACTCCTCTCTGGGCTCACCAGTTCTTCCTTGGGGCATGGAATTTGTAGCTTCAATTCCATTAAGGAATGTCTGCTCTTTTTCCCTGGGCTTCCTAATCCCTCTTGGGGCCCCAACAGCCCCAATTTTGCTGAGGAGCTACTTCTTAGTTTTCCCTCAATCCCTGTTGCCAATTTCTCTTCCAACCTAGTTCCAGAGGAAAACTGCTGCAATCCCTGTCCTCTTTTTCTACAGATAGCCTTTTCCCAACACCTCCCTACTGGCACCATCACCGTCTCCCAGACTTTAGTTGCAGCATGGTCTGAAACCTGTAAAGCTGCTTCTCTTCTGCCTCCAGCAGCAGCAATGCCTCTTCCTCTGCAGCCTCGTCTCCCTTCCTTTCTTTTACCTACAAGCCTCGTATTAGTCCCATGTTGCTCCTCCATAGATGCTACTGCTGGAAATGTGAGCTGCTCACATGGGACCCTGGAGAACAGGATAGGTGATGAAGAGCAGGATAAGGAATGCATTGCTTTTCTCTTTGCCTCCCGCTGAGGGTTCCCCTTGGCCGCAGAGAAGTCCCCAGAGTGGGCTCCCATCTCTGCATCCACAGGTTGTGGGCAGGGCCCCATCCTAGCAGTCACTGCCTCCCTGCTTAGCTGCACTTTCCGAGGTCTTAGCTGTGGCATCCTGCAGGCAGGGAAAGGGCCCCCAGGCTCTGCAGAAAAACTGCCTTTAGCAACAAGCGGCCACGGCAGAAACCACTCCCCCAGCTATTCCACAAACCAACCTGGCCAGCCTCAGTATTTGGGTAGAAAGCAGGACCGATGGTGAAGAAACTCGGGGACAACCTGAGTGGCCTCCTAAACACAGCTCCAGATGGGCCAGGAGGGCTCAGACTTTGAGCGGTGGTGCCCCTAGCAGAGCAGCAGGATTCGGACAGACAGCTACACCTGCCTGTAGAGGAGGTGCCCCCAGCCACCCTCCTGCTGCTCGTGGCCGGGGGTTGTTCTGAGTCTCTTGCCGACCCAGAGAAAAGATTTCACGGGCTCCACCCCGCCCCGAGGGCGCTGAATTCCGCGCCCTCCACAAACTAAAGATCTGTGAGCTCAAATACAGGTCCCCGGCCAGCGCCGCTGCCTGCAGCCCCTCACAGCCAGCACCTAAGCCGGGCGGCAGCCGCTCCAGCTGTCACACCCGCCTATCTGCTCACCCTACCCCGCTGCTTCCAGCCGTGTCCCCGCAGCGCCCCGCCACCCCATTCACTCAGTCGGCGCCTTTGCCAAGCATAGGCCCAGCCGCCGCCCGCCCCGCCTCGCCTCGCCTCGCCTCGCTCCGCTCTCCCGCTCACGCGCTCGCCCAGCACCAGTCAGGGCGCGGCGCAGCCCCCTGCGCAGGGTCACAGGGCAGGGGAGCTGCGCAGGCGCAGGGCGGAGGCCGAGCTGTGAAAAAGGCGCCTAACCACTCCCAGCCACAGCGTTTCTCGAGCTGCCCCAGCACCTTGCGAGGCTGCTGTTCCCCGTCTTGAAGAGAGCAGTTCAGCTGCTCCCGGCTCCGTATGCCCGGGGCACCTGCTCCCGACCGCTCCCACACTCGCTTGAGTGGGGTTGGTCCCTGCTTTGTCCAAGCCAGAGGGGGGTAAATCGAGTAAACGGGTGGCAAAAATGCAGCCACTACTCCCTTGTAGCGTGCACGGCATAGTCAGCATTAGGGAGCAAGAGCTCGCAGGAGAAAAAGAGGAATCTCTAGTCCCTTTGCAAGGAAGACGTGGAGGCTACAGACCTACTCAGACGCACGGAAAGAAGGCAGGGGCCTCCACTGTCTAAAATGAGAACTGACTAGTTAGGATCTCAACCTCTCCCCTTCCTCACCAGTAGCCTTTGGGTGTGTCAGGTCCTAAGTTAGTTACCCTTTGTGGAGGAGTCTTTCCCCTTCTTTTTGTTTCTTTAAAGCAAGACATTTGAATACAAAATCACCACAAATAGCACATTATCAGTACTAAATACGGTCTGAAAGTTTACTTTAAACCGAATATGCATTAGATTATAGGCTAGGAATGGAACCTGACAACCCATTAAGGGTAACTTAGTTTAACCTAACACTAGTTGAGGATTGATACTTGCTTAAGTTATCTTGCCGAGTTCACAAACCTGCAATAAACCCCGAATGCTTATTTTAAAAATCAAATCAGTTTGCAGTGTACTCAAATATGAATTTGAAGAACATTAGATATTCATCTCAAAATGAGTAAAAAAGCACTTTATCCAGTGAAAGAAATTAGTCTGCATTTCTCTTTTTGTCCACGATGAACCAGATTCAATGGGAGCGTCAACAGAGTTTGGCTTATTATCCATATCTACTTTTAATAAGGTTAGAATTCCAAAGGGATTATGTGTATTTATTAGTAAATACTGCAATGGTGGAAAGTTGTTAGCTTGCAAGAGAGATAGCCAAAGACACAGCTTCAGTTTCAAATTTAGTGATAGTTCATTTGTTAGACACAAAATTCACAAAGTAAGAGAAGAATATTCTTCTGTCTTAGAATTATGCAAACATTCTAAAAATTCATAAGTGTACAGAATAGTACACTGTATAAATGAATTGTTCTAAAGGAGTTTTACATTACCAACACATGCTATCAAAATTAAAATAATTAGTAATATTTAATAATTTTAAACTAAAAATAGTAGCAGTGGCACCATTGTACATACCTTAACAAATGTGTTTAACCCAATATTCCAACACTATTCTTGGATGTTCTTTGAAAGAGAAGACACCTGATTAAAATCCAGTGCACCTTGACTTGTTGCCTGATAGCATTCACATTTCAGGAACGCTAGACTGGGACCTGTGAATATTAAATAAACATTTTTGTTTTAATATAGTCTAAATAATAGGGCTAATGAGGTAAACTAGGAGTTAGAGTACAGCCTGGGAGTGAATAGATTTAGATTCTAGTCCAATGGACTGGCTCATTATGTGAACTTAGGCAAATCAATTTCACAAATGCCTTTATGTCTCCATCTGTAAAATGGAGATAATGTATCATTAATTCAAATGAGGCAGAGAAAATGTAATAAGATTTTTCAACATAAGCCATCTGTGAATGAAGAAGAAGCATGTAGGCTGGGAAGCAAACAGTATGCCATTTTCTATTGCTTATGATCTTTTTTTAGGCTGAGTGCCTGTGTGTGTTAAAGATACAAGCTGCAGAAAAGGACAGTGGGCAGATAATTAAAGCTAATCAAGGCAGGGAGTACAGATAACCAAGGTTTTATCTGAAGTTCTAGGTCCTCAGAACCAAAAAATATCCAATAAGGGAGTTTAGCTATACAGCATTCAGCAATAGCAGCATTCTTCAGACCCAGTATTTGTAAAAAAGTGTAATGTCTGACCTATTTGGGCAGGAAATTTCAACCTTCCCCAACTTAGATGTGTAACACAGGCTTTTAAGGTGCATAACAAAGCTCAAGAAAGGGAGAGATACAACAGAAAGGAATAGAGAAGGAACTATGAAATGATGTCATAGTAATTACTTTATTGATTTGTAGCTTCAGCGTCAGATTGGGTATTTATGATGACAATTATGAACAATAATGAAAAGTGGGATCAACCAGGTTTGTGTGAAATTGATCCACTTTAAAGGATTCTTTCAAAATGAGGAACAGTTAAGAAGTGTAAGCACTGACTTGAGTCACGCTACTTGAAAATCTCTTTTAGAAGGATCATAAGGGAAGGCAGACCTCCAGAAAGGACACTTGTCAGCAGCTGTGGATTGTGTTGCAAAACCAGGTGGTGCTCCATTCAAAGAATTTTCTGAAAAAAGTTGGCATGGAATGGGCCCATCCAAGTTCCTCAATTTGACTGTGCTTTAGAATTCTTGAAAGAGGAGTCAAGGCTTTAAAGAGACACTGTGAGGTTAAAATATTTTAATAAAATCTAATTTCTTTACTTCTATTATTAAAACCTTATGTTATTAAAATGGAAACAATTTTATAAACTAACTCAGTTTTCACAGTTAGCACTGTTCACTCTTTTCATGTCATTCAGCTCAGATAAAGACAATAAAATAAACTAGTTATTTTCACTTTCATGTATAGTCAATTTCACTTTTTGGTTCCCATGCATTAGCTAGCACACTTCAACAACATAGGGATTGCCAACACTACGGAGGAATGTGTCTACATTTTAACAAAAATGCTGTTTTAATTGGAATTTAAAAGAATATGTAAATATTTGATTTTGCTAGGTTTTGTGAAATCTCATTTCTCAAAGTACTTACATTTTAGGCTTAAATCAACTTTATAGGATCTCCTTAATTTCTTTATTGTACTTTAGAATATAAAAAGAAAGCAGGATCCAATCCTTCTACAATTAATGCAAAATAAAATATGAAAAATGTAGCACACAGTGGGACAGTGTAGTCCTTCCCCTCTAAAGGCTAAAGACTCAGTAAGTTAAGGTTATTTCCTGCCTTGATTATCCAGTACCCCTTTCTCCAGCCATCTTGCTCTTATTGGTATCTCGCTCTCCTTCGGGTAATCAAAATGCTGCCACTGAGATCATTTTCCTTTCCTGCCACTCTGACAGTGTTTCCTCAGATCTCTCTAATAGTGTGATTCCACTCTTCTGCAAAAATTTCAAGTTTCCATCCCACCTATAATGCATGCTATAAATCCACCCCACCATGATCTCTGCTCTCATTTACACCTCTTCCTCCTCTCTGCTTTGTCCATGCTTCTCTCCTGATGATTATTTTTGTCTCTCTTACCCACTCTCAACTTCATACCTCTTTTCATGTGGCATTGTATGCTTAACTCTTTCTCTTTCTCAGTATACCCCAATCTTTTCTCCTTAAAAAAAACAAACCTGTAATGGCCACAACACAGTTTGTACTCATTCTATATTGTATGGCATTAGCTTAATAAATCAGAGTAGAGATTTTGTTACTAGTGTGGCACAGTTCACATTCTGTGCAGCACGGTGTATTTTTATGATGCCATATTAATTATGATATGATTTAAATACTACTTAAAAATCAAAGGAGATCATGGTGAGAGCGCTGTGTCAAAAGTAGCTCTGTCAGACTCCTGTTTGACCTAGACAGACCAAAATTCCAACTAATACCTTTTCAGATTTGTATTGTGTCCAATAAATATCAAGAGCTAACATTTGGCATTTCACTGAATGCTAACTAAATGGATTAATTGCATCCCTAGAAGAATCAGAAAGACTGTGGTAATTTTAATGTAAGAGAGTTTATTCTATCCTGATGCTGCTACTCTTGGTCAGAGCAATAACAAATGGAATTTAAATAATGATCTATATAATTATAAAAGTGATTTACATTATTTCAGGGTTAGAAGGAAGTAACTAGTTTGTAATACCTTATTATACAATCATCACTGATAAAGTTTGCAGGTGACACAATAATTGGGAAAGTGTTAAAAAATGAAGAGGACAGTCACTGATACAGAGCAATCTGGATCACTTGGTAAACAGGGTGCAAGCAAACAAGATTCATTTTAATACAATAAATGTAAATGTGTACATCTAGAAAAAAATGTAGGCCATATTTTGAGAAGTAGTGATTCTGAAAAGATTTAGGAGTTGTGAACATGAGCTGCTAGTGAAATGCTGGGGCCAAAAGGGCTAATGTGAACCTTGGATGCATAAACTGGGGAATCTC